GTCTCCTCCTTGGAAGTCTTGTTTCCCCTACTCTTTTGACCACTTGTTTTTGCCTTGACACCTGTTTCCTGTTTATAAGCAGGTCCCCGATGAAGCAACTGTTTCCCTCACTGCTTCATTTTCACTTACATTCTGTTGCACCACTGTTTTCAGGGAGTTTACTTTGCTAGACACAGGTCCACACACCTTGGCACCATTCATATATCTGGCCCTGGCCAAGTGACCCAGTCCATTGTGGGCCATGCCTTTCCTCACCCTCACCAACCCCTCAGTTCAACCTGCCTGCCTTGGGACCTGGAAGTGGGAAAATGTAGGGCACATGGCATCTCAGCCCCCGGCAGGGCAGCAGAGGGAAGGATGCTGGTTGCCATCCCTTGGCATGGTCACACAGGCCTCATTCACCTGGCTCTCCTGCCAGCAGAGCCCCAGCTCTTCCCAGGCCAATCCCTAACTCTGGGGTAAAGCATGAACCAGGAGCCAACTCCTGGGGTTGGGCAGCCGTGTAGGGGGATCTTCTAGGCTCCCAGTTTTTTTTGCTATCGCTGCTGATATCACAGGTCCTGGAGCATGGAAAGAGAACCACTGACTGGTGTGATTCTGTGCCTTAAGTTTCTACATCTCAAAAATGGGGATGATACCGTCATCTCCCTCAGAGCTGTTATAAGGATAAGCTGCATACTTTGCATACAGCCTTGTGGAATGAATGAACCAACTACATCATTGACAATGAACACTTTAACCCCCAGGTTTCCTTAGTACTGGGCACCTAGAAGATCCTCTCTCCATTTGTGTAACAGATGAGCCCACATGAACAGTGTTTGTTTTGGGACAGAGGAATGTCCTATGTGAAGTTTGTATGCTCTCATGAAGTGTCATAACAAGGAAAGGGTTCTTTATACAGAGAGTAGAACTCACTTGAAGAGTCACAGCTAGCTAGGGATGGAGTTCCAGAGCTGGAAGCCTTCTGTAGGCCTCACAACCAGGAACCTTCAGGCCCCCATCAACAATGCATGAGACCCAGGAGCCTCGGGTCCAGGCCAGTGAGTCTCTGGGACAGCAGGCTGGGCTGGCACATCTATAGGGCTCATCCCTGCCTACCCATTCACATGGCTGGAAATGCCAGCCAAGAATGCTGTAATGACAGGTTGCTGTGTTCCCACAGGGCTTCTGGAATGCCAGAGACCTGGATTCAGTCTCTGCCAAGCCAGTACTGAGCTGGAAAGGGGAGTGCTGAATGGCCCGGGACAGATACTACAGCGGGAATCTAAGGCCACTATGCCCAGGAATGTGGCAGACACTGGCCATTACTGAACCTGCTTCCAGGGAGGGGGCTTCAGGAACCACCAAGGACACTGTACAGTCTTCCTCCCATCACCATACCCCTGTTCCAGCTTTCTCTTGCTTCTCTCTCCACCTTTCCCCTAAAGCTTCACTCCAGCTTGTGGCCTGCCCAGAAGCATAGGAAGGCAGTATTTTAATACTCTGTGTATTAAT